CCATACTGCATTCACGTATGTCAGCAGCACTCACGGGAGCTGTCTGTCCTTGCTCATTCACAGAGAGGCTATTTTACACCTCTGGGTCACCACATCTGCCTCTGCCAGTCTCAATACAGGGTTACCCATCCCTCACAGGAAATACCCACCCTCACCAATCACCTGCCCAAAGCCCATCATGACAATCTTTTCAGCATCCTGAAACACAATTCAGATAGCCAAATGTTAGCTGATGTTTATGGCTAAATACTGCCCAGATGTCTCTTTTTAAAGAATGACCTTTTTTATTTCTTCTTCTTTTTTTTGGTGTCTAGAGCGAGTTCTAATCACCCAAGCAAGGCCAAAGCAAAGACACTTTAAGCAGAGAGACACAAAAATAGGATCCTCTCCCATGGCAATTTTGCATTTCCAGCAGAGCTGCTCTTCAGTTCTTGCAACAGCCTTTACACAATCACTGCTCCCCCACCTCTGTAGGGATACATCAGCCCACTGAGCTCAGCGCCATACCTCCCTTCAACGTGAAGGCTGTGGACAGGCGGACAGGCTGGTGTGACAGCAGTCGAGGTGCAGCTCAGTTGTACAGCTCACTGGGAGGTCGGAGTCTGCCCACTGTGCCCCTTCACAGCCTTCTGACCCCTGCGTGGAAGGACAGGGCTCCTCTGGTTTCCAGCTGCTGAAGGCTTGCTAAAGGGAATGAGGGTTTGTTCCTCTATCTCTGTTTGCTACTGAAGTTAAATCCAGGCTTATCCCTCTCACTTCTTTACATAAAAGCTTCCACTCAAAGCAGACACGTTCTGAAATCTATTATTCTCTATATTGTTCATAGTGGTTCTAATTTTTCCCACGTTGCTCAAAGCTCTGTCCTCAGGTGACTGTTCTCTGAGCTTTTGCAGTTCAACTTCACCTTTCAAATAAGATTTATCCATTAAAAAACAATTCCACTGCTTTTTGCAGGTATCATTTTGTCACATATGGATTTATTCAATAAATGCTTTTAATAGCAACATTTCTAGGCTTTGTTTGTCAAGGGCTGCCAGGCTTTTACACGCCAGGGCTGGCACAGACGCTGAATTACCTCTCTGTACCCAGGGGAGAGTTCCCTGCTGGTCATGACAGAGGTCCCGCACATGCAACTAAATGAAAGGAAATTAAAAATGCGAGCATCTACATAATTCACAGCCAGTAAACGGTGGTGAGTAGCAGGCTTCCAGCAACTTCTGGACCTCAGCAAAGCTTCTAATAAAAGCAGAGAAATGTGATTTTAATCTGCAGTTATGCAAAGCCCTAAAAGCCAAGCTTCAACACAAGAATCAGGAACGGGAACTATATAAAGGCCATCAGCAAGAGCAAATCCAGCCAGCCCAAGGGCACTGGGAAGTAACAGCTGACAGGACAGAGGAGAGAGGTCAAGATCAGTATGCCAAAAATCTTCCGCTCCTGCGAGAGCCTGAAATGAAGCAGCACTGCTGTTGTCTGTCTGCTGCCTGCTCTGGAGCAATGGGTGCCCAGCACTCGCCTCTTGGTGTGTGTGGCATCCACCCATGCAGGATTCACGTGTCCCTCCTGAAGAACTGTAAAAGGTGGGGATGGTTGGAACAGAGACTGGCTCTCTTCTTTTTTCTGCTTCTCCTGCTTCTGAGGTTTTCAGATGTCTATTGCTAAATCCTTGGCCCAAATTCCCCTCTTTAAAAGTGGCACAGTACTAAGTTTGTCTAAAGCAAAACTGAAAGAGAAAAGAGAATGCATTGCCCAATACTCTTTTTTTTGTTTGTTTTCCAAGAATTATAAACTCCTTTTGGTGACTCTTCCGCTTTCTTTCAATGAAATATTTAATATACTCAGACATTAGGAGGACTTCTTTTTGCTCAACTTCCTCCATTCTTTCCATAGTTACCCAGTCTCACAAGGACTTATTAATTAAAGTCTCTCAGTACAGTATTATTTTTCTCTGTCTATCTCTATTTTCTGTACTGCAGCTTGTATACATTGTTGAGAGGAATCAGAGGGAGCAAAGAACCAAATAAAAAGATCCCTCCAGGACTACAGTGTTCCATTATACAAAGAAAAACAGCAGTTTAGATTGCTCATCCTTATTTCCCAGAGGAGGCCTCAGATGTCTTTGTTCTTTGGCTTTTTAGACAGATTTTCCTTTTCTGGTAAAATCTTGTTACCTGTGAAGTGCAGGGCCAGTTTCTGGTCAACATTTACCTGCTTTTCCATTAGCAGCTGACACATACTGTTCTTCCTCATGCTCTGCCTCCAGCAGACAGTTCTGGGGTGTTGTGCAGCACTCCCTGCCCACGGCTCTGTGCCCAGGCTCCAGCTCTGGGTTTCCCAGGGCAGCCTGGCTTCATGCAGACACCACATGACAAAGTGCCATAAATGCATTACTGCTGACAGCAGTGACAATGAGATCCTGAAGAGGCCAGGGAAGGAATGAGCATGGGGCCTAAAGCCCTATCCCTTCTTCTGAAGTGCTGTACCTGTTCTAAGGGCAAAGAACAATTTCCTCTCCCAGAGCTGTCAGTCAAAGCCAGCTTCCTCAGTGCTAAAGTTACTATAAATATCAGAGTAACTCTTACCAACACAAATGGGGCGTACAGTAACATCTCTAGTTTATCAGGTGTTGCAAGCTGTGAACTCCCTGCCTCCTTGGAGTCCACAAATCCAGATGACTCACAGACATCACACCTATGTTACCTGTGCATGCATGTTTTGATATGCCCAGTATTTTGCTCTTGTCTAAACATAAAGCTGTAAAATGGAAGGGGGGAAATCCTCTAGCTGCTTTACACTTTTTGCTGAGAACCTGGTATTACCTCCAGTTTGCCATCTTCCCAGCTGGCTAGATATTGTATTGTTTATATTGGACCTCCTCCAAGATTAATGGCATCATCTGTGCAGTTTTAACAGTCTAATCTTGCTAAATCTCTCTGCTTTGAAATTTGATTGTGCCCGATCTTCATTATTTTAATTGTTTAATGCATTATAATTAAGGCCCAATTAGATCTAACGGATTCCAGTTCAGCCCAATGTATTCACATCTGTCTGTGAGCTGCGGGAAGAACAAGACAAACTAGGCTGATTCCATGCTGATTTTTCAGCCCAGGGACCAGGTACTATTTTTGCCACTGAGTTATGTTTGACTGCAGGCAAGTCATCTATCTTTCTGTTCCTCCAAGGGGTTGCAGTGTTTATAGCCTAACTGGGTCCCAGCACAGGTTGACATCTTTGCAAGCAAGTGTTATGGAAATAACAAAAACAACCCACAGCCCATCCCATGCGCAGCTGCCTCCTGACTGGGAATGACTCCTGCTTGTGAGGAGCACCTGAAGAAAGACCACAAACACAGAGGCTTGTAAAACGTGCATCTCAGCATAAAACATGGAAACCTCCCTTCCCTCCCCACTCACCTCAGACCGAGTTCTGGCAAGATTCTGGCACTTCCCAGCGGACAGGCTCTGCCTACGTAGAGGGATACCTTTTACTTGCTGAGCCGTATGCAGCCCCATGGGAGTCATGACCTGAGAACTCTGCGGCTGCAGCATGCACAGGCCTGGCTTTCAGATCCCCTCCAATAATGCATCTTTATTCTGCCTGCATCCAGGTTGCAGGGAAGGAAGGAAGGGTCTCTATTTGCCAGGGGTTAAGAGACAGTTGCTTCTTCTGAAGATGGAGCAAGCAGGTATGTGTTCCTTTCAAACAGCGAACAAAGTTGCCTACCTTCACTTCCCCATTACCTTAACCCAGCACTTAGTAGGAAGAGCACTCACCTAGAGCACAAGGGCCTCAGATTCAATTCACTTTTCCATCTAAGAGAAGAAACCCATTTCTTCAGGGCACACACTTGCTCTCAGGCTCCACAAAGGGACCTTTAGCTCCTGATAAAAAGTTGTCACATTTGCCCAAAAAAACAATGACATAACATTGATCCTGAGAGCAATCACAGCCTGCTGGCCTGCTGGCCAGAGCTCGCAGCCAAGGGCAAGGAGATCTGATTCTGCCCTAAGGACTACTTCTGTGTCTTATCTGGTGATTATTACTGTGTACAATAAATAAACTCAGACTACCTTTCCAAGGAGTATCAGGGCTCCCTAGCACTTTCCTTGCAGCAGTATGGTGAAAGACTGAAACCACCACCACTGATAACAAATCAGACCTCGGCTTTCTTCAACATGAAAATAAGCAGGGAAGAAACAAACGTGCACAACCTGCCCTTTTCATCTCCTTGAGAAAACCACATGTTAATGCCCCCTAACCTGATAAAAGATATTCCCTTTGGCACTGCAGGCCACCAACTGCGCTTGTGCTCACTGATGTGACATTAATGAACGTATGCTCCAAGGAGGACACCACAGGAGTGACACAAAAGGACTACATGCACTTGGTCCAGCAAAGATGCCCCCCATGAGGTTACAGAACAAGCCCCCACTGGTTTGCAGTGGGGGGTTGCAGTGCCAGGGGTTCTGTGGGCTCACATCCAGCCTTCTCTGAAAGTGTTTTGGTCCGACTGAGACTCTCCCTCCAAAAGAGCCCCAAGGAAAACAGTATCTTACTTAGGAAACTTGGTCTAGAAGTACCAAGAAAAAGGCTCTCCAGTAAACACGGAGCTAGAATTTACATTTTCAGCCCAGGGGGGAAGAAAGAAAAAAAAAGAGAAAAGTGCCTCCTTTATTTTTAAATCCCTTTGAACATTTTCAGATCTGCAAAAATACTCTGCAGAACAGCTGTAATCAAAATAATACCCTGTGTATTTCTGTGAGCTAGTCTGGGGATTCTTCCCCACTCCCAAGACATAACTGGCTCGGGTTTAGCCAGAGAAACATTTTCATTTTTGCAATTCGTTTTTTCTCCGAAGAGAAGAAACTTTGAAATTCCACTCGGGACGGGGCCAGGAACTGGTGGTGGTTTGCAGGCGGCTGGAGCTGGAAAACACTTTGAGAGTCTGCAGTATTTTGTCAGGGTATTGTGGCATCCACCTGGCTGTTTCCGCGATGCCTGGTACAGTTCAGCCGATGGTGACTCACTCTTTGTTACACTGAGAGTGGAGCTGCCGGGCGTTCCTGACTCAGGTGGGCAGAACACTTCACACGCCCGCAGCCATGACCACAGCCTGGGAGCAGCCCAGCAGAAGCGATTGTTGCCAAGGGAGAATCTGTCAGAGCAAGGAGCTCGGTGGGGAGTGCTGGGGAAGGGAGGAGCAGGCCCAAACCACCAGCAAGGCTGGTCTGTGCGGGGAAGACCACGGCAGGGAGGGTGGATTCCTGGTTGGTGGCACAGAACTTTAGTGGCACATGTAGCTAAATGAATGCATCAAAGAGGCCTCTGAACACCCTGTGAGCTGCCATGCTTTAAGCACTTGGAGAGGTGGTATGTTGGAGATCAATGCTGTGAATGTCGGAGTGGTGCCAGGGGCAGGACATGCCCAGCAAACTCCCAAATCGCCCTGGGAGTGCCAGAAGAGGCTTCATTTACAGCTGCGGTACAGGAACATCAGCTGAGCTTGGTACCTGAGAACCTGCAGGAAAAGCCTTCCCCACGTTTGCACCCAGCTGTTTGAGGGACAGGTATTGCATACCAAGCACCTGTACACCAAGAGCTTAAGTTTCATCAGAGAGAACTAACCGTGTTTACCTCATCACCAGCTGTCTATAGGAGATGGAGAAAAATAGTTCAGAGCTTCCTGGTCAGGGCTGAGTAGCTGTAGCACATACCACACTGACTCATGGATTTAAACATGCTCCATGGAGTTCAGGACATTTCAAGAACTGCCTGCCTGAACATCACCCATAGCTCTAGCTGGACACTTCCAAATCTCCACCTTGCCTTATATCTGCTTATTAACACCCTCTCACCACACGTGCTTTCCGACAGTTGCAGGTCGCACTACAAATCTTTCCATCCTTTAAGACCGCCTATGATTTCACCTGTAGGAGTGATTTTTAGGAGTGCTTCTTTTTCTTCAGCAAAGTTCTGAAACTAGATATACTTCATACTTCTTTCCTTACCCTCCTTCCTTCCTGTTTTCACAGAGGTGGAACCTTTCCTACAGTAGGTTTTGGGGGTTTAGGTTTTTTCCCCAAATCTCATCCCTCCACCTGTTGTCCTTAGAAGAGCACCCAATCTCTGCTTTTGAGATCTGAGATTTCCTCGTGCAAACCATCTTCTCTGAAACTTGGCATCTTAATCCATGGCCTAGCAAGTCTTCCTGTGTGCTGTTGTCTCCATACAACTCTTTTGCATTTGCAGGCGTGAGCTGTAACCAGCTCTGGTGACAGTTTTTCTTGTTAAAGAATAAGAAGAAAAATGACATTGTAAAATCTGGAGCTGATCAACAGATCTGTTGGTGAAGCTCAGAGCAACTTGCAGCATTCTGCAGTTAGCCTGCTGCTATTACTGCATCTCGCATGCTGCTTATGGTAACACAGAGATCATTTGGTACAGGCTAGTTACACTTCTAATGAGCCTGGCCAGAAGCCTGCCAAGTTTGAAGAAAGAATGTCTAACTGAGAAGTGAGACATTAACTATAGTAACATTCATAAACTTGGATTTTCAAGTTAAGCCATAAGAAGAAGAGAATCCAGAAGTTGAGGGACAAAAAAGAATACCTGCCCTGCGAATTTTTGTGTCAGAAAGCTTTCCTCAGCACGGTGAGTTTCAAAGCCTGCCCTAATAAATGCAAATGAAGGTTGATTTGGTAACTCTGGCCCTGGCTTGCAAGTGACCCGGTGGGATCTCAGCCCCTTCTTAGGCCTCACATTTTCCATATGGCCAGAGGCAAATCGTGCAGACATTTACCTGAGAGGTTTGTCCCCACAAAGACTTACCCTGCAGAACTGGGTGTAGGTGTCAATTTGCTGCTGACCTTTAAACAACTGTAAAACTGTAACTTGGCCACACTACAAGCACTCCCACTAACTTTATACTTCCTGGGGCTTATCTATTATGCAAAACCAGGCAGGTTTTGCAAGCTGGGAAGTTGTGCAGAAGAGCAGCTTTTATCATAGCCAATATATTCTTGTTTTGACATCAGCTCAATTGTGTTCTGTTTGGATAACTGACCAGAGAAGAGCTACAAAAACTTTCCATGCTAGATAAGGTTATCCATCTTGAAGAAGAACCTGACAGAAAAAGACAAAAAGGAGACAAGGCATTTTTTCTTGCTTCTCCAGCTCAGCTGATTTGTAAAATACACAACTTTCACACTGCTTTTTAGAGTTAATACAGATCCTTGTTGATCCTCTGGAGTTGTAAGCCTCCATAGAATATTCTGAAATCTTACAGAGTATTCTAAAAAGACTGCAATGTTGGGTTGGATATACTATTTGAAATGTGTGTATAGATTACAAAAATAATTGTTTAATTCTAGTTAGCTTCTTTTAAACAGGATTCACTTGTCCTACCACACAACAGCTGGGTCTTTAAAATGTCAGGTAGCTGTCAGGGGGCACAATAAGAATCCACAAACGTTTGATGAGTATAAATATCAAAGCAGGAGATTCTCCAGTCAGGGTGGAAAGGGGTCAGTGCTGATTAGTTCTGTTACAGCTACTGACATCAGCACATCCTAACAGCCTGGTTGAACTTTTTGGATGAAGAAACAGACATTAACTGGCTCGCAGCAGGGTATATCTGAGACCTCATTACTAAATCAGACAGAGTTCTTAGGCCAGTTAAGTTACAGGAATTGATTCTGAGCCAGGAGAGCAAGGGAATACAAAGATAACAACAGGCTCTGGAGATTCTGGGAGGAATAAGGTGTTCAGGGTGGAAAGGAGGAAGAAGAGGCAGGGCAAGAGATTCGAGTTGCTCTGCAAGAAATAAAACAAACAAGGTGGGGTTTGACTGACTGTTTTCATGGATTTGTTGTTATCTCCTAAAATCTCCTCTGCTGTAACAACCTTGGGTTCTCTCCCGAAACCCACTCTCCATATAGGGCACATGCTATGCTCAATCAAAAACCTCTGAGCATACTCTGGCAGGCTGGCAGCTCTCAACTGCTATATAAAGGCTGGCTTCCACCTGCCTTTACCACAGCACAGGCATTTAATTACCCACTTTGTCCTCTGTACAGCTGCGGTTTTTCACAGACCTTGTTTATCTTCAGATTTCAGCTCATCTTTCAAATTTGGTTGAAAATGGGTCCCAAAGTTTTAAGGGGAATTGCTGAATGTACAGAGAGACAAACAACACAGTCTCACAAACCTCATTTCAAAGGCAACCAGGGCTAAAAAAATGCCAATTTTTAATTCCTGATCCTGTTCATGCCAAATGTTGTCTAACATTTCAGCAGCAATCTGCGGCCCTAAGAGCCTCTTTAAATATCCTATCAAGAATATATAATAAATTGTGATAAATGTAGTCAGTATAAAATAAAATGAGTTGAAATTGGTTGCTGGGATGCAAAACTGAAGTTGACAGGCAGTTGTGAGGAAACTTGCAAGAAAATGCTTATTTTATGTATTTCTTTGGGGCTTAGCAGGCTGGAGCTGTCAAGATGGTTTTGCACATGCTCGGCAGCAAAAACAAGGGAACTGAGCGGTTTTACCAGTGGAAAATGTTAAATTCCTACTGCATCAAGCAAACCTTCAAAATTAGAAATGCTATTAATACCTGTAACTTAAATAAAGTTACTTACATATGTACTTATGGGCCTAAGATGCCCTTGTAAAACTACATCTTTAATATCTTTAATTGCTTGCTGTGATAATTTTACCACAGACTTGTGAAAATCTAAATAAAATACGTAATTTCACCTTCCTCCATACCTATATGAACCATCCAGATAGCAGTAAGAGATTAATGAGGTTTTTCTGTTCTATATTGTTTCTTAGACCACCTCATAATATAACCTTTGATGCATAGCATCATTTCATTTTTAACTTCAAATGATCATCTAATACATAATTCACTTTATTAATAATTACTTGCATTACTTTATAAAAATACAGGTTCAATCCATTACCCATTGATCCTTTTTGTGGCAAATGTTTAAGGTGAGAGTTTGCATGTATAACAGCTACACTGCTTTGGTTTTGAGGTCCTCCAGAAAACCTCAGTGTGTTCCCTATAAGACTGGCAATTTGCATCTTAGCAATATTTCTGATGTATTCAACTCTAACAGCTATGGTATATTTCTAAAGACTGTAAAGAAAATAAATGATTTATCATTTAAAAAATAAGAGACAAACTCAGGATAAATGCATACAAGACAAGAAGCTCTGAAATTAAGTGGCAGAACTGATTTGAAGCAAGACATTATGGAGCCTTTTTCCTGACAATCAACATTAAAATAACATTAACTAGTAAGCTCAAATAAATAAAAAATAAGTCCAAAAATAAATCAAAGTAGGTATAATAGAATGACATTAGTCTCGAGTTTGCCTCAAGACATCCTGTCTCTTCTGGTAACACTTCTTAAGTATTATCTATCTTGCTCACTCAAGAGCAGTCACACATCATGGAAGTGAATACAAGCTGAAAAGAGTTCCAAGTTCCCAAATCCCAGTGACTGTTGTTTGCAAAAAGAAAAGAACTCTTTTCATCTATAAACCAACATAATTACTCTAGGTTCCATAATTCAGGGTGTAATTCAGTCCTGTGTGGAGGATCGGGATAAGACTGATGCACAGAGAATTCATCAACACCACATTAAATTTGCTTGAACTTATACTTCTAGCCTGGGAGGACCTGTGTTTAGCCAGTGTTCCCAGCAGACTGGGTAGCCAACTGCCTTCATGCATCCCAGGGCAAAGCATGCCTGTTTCAGCATCATCCATCTTGCTTCCTGTAGAAGGAAGTGGAGAAGAAAACATATGTGATATGCTCTTTCATTGTATCTTTGGAAGACACACAAATACCTCAGCACTGGGCCATCAGGTAGGAATGAGAACATAATACAATTGTAATATATAAACCGTAGATTCCACTTGCAGGCCTCTGTCTAGCCAACTGCTTTCAAACACTCAAACCTCCTTTTTGTTGCTGATGTTGGGGATATTTCATTTGATTTCTTCATGGTTGTGATGACTGTAGCAGCATCCCTAAAATGCTCCTTAACTGCATCTCAAAATAGTCTGATTAATCAACCTTATTTAAGAGTGATGAACTTTGTTCCTCTGCACAGCTTTTGATTTTGCATCTAAGACTGTAAAATCAACTCGGGTACAGAAGCAAACTGAATTTTCCCTGTTCACAGTTCCCTGTGAACTGAATTCACAAAGCAATGCCAAGGTGCCCATTTTCAAAATGAGCTGTCAGCAGTTCAAGAATTTGCACACTTTTACATTCAATATGTGACTAACACTTAAATGCTACAGTGAAAACACCCAAATGAGATCCGTTAATGGACCTATTCATACATGACAGCTTCACCACCCAGCCCTATCAAACCCTCCTTCCAGCTAACCAGTTACTGAAAGTTATTGCAGCCCTTCAAGTGCAGCCAGATCCTGATGTCCTCCCCCATCTCATACACTAAATGTCCGGAATTAAAGTTATTTAGATTAAATTCAGCCTTTAGTGACCCCTGTGCAAACTTTTAGTCTTTCATAACTTTTAGGAGCTTTTTCTAAACAAGCAAGAACAGTATCCAGCTTCCTTTCTCAGAAAGGTCAGTAGGAGGTAGAAAGCAGTGCTGATTTATGTTCATCGTTTGGTGACAGGTTCTGTAAAGGAAGCTGCCTTTTTACATTACATTTTTTTTCAGAATTGGGCAGGTGATAACTTACAATTCATCACTTCTATGCCATTCATTTGGTGGGCATCCTGACATCCTTCATCCATACTTGTTACTTGGGTGTCAAGATATTTGTAAACGTTTTAGAGTTATTGTTGTGAAAATGAACTTTGCATTTTACCAGCAGTCGAATCTGAGAAGTCAGTCCTTGGAGACACTTCCAACCATGCATTAACTCTCCAATATATATACTTAAATCAGTCCATATACAAAATCATTTGAGGATTTTAATCCAAGGTACAGGAATACTTATGTGGGATTCACCGGTACTTGCATTCTTCAGTTCAATGTTTCATTTTTTATGAAACTAAACTATGGACAGAGAGGTGAGGTTAGAGAAGGTTCTCAAGACATCTTCAATGACACCAAGAGAAAGGCCATGTGAGATCCAGCAGCTCTAACTACTTTCCATTCCGTGATGGAAAATAGCAGCCTTACCCACAATTTATGTTTTATCGCTGGCAGCTGACTGAGAGTCAGAATCTGACTCATTTTAGACTGGGGGAAAAAAATGGAACAAAAAAGAAAATAAAGGCCTAAAATGCATCCATCCTTCACTGAAGTCTCTCAGTTGAGTCCATCTGCAGGAGTGTCCTGAGGATGAAGGATGTCAGTTGATCCAAAAGCACTATCAGACTACAAAGGAGAAGAATAAGAGATCTCACTCCCTTGTGCAAAGCTGGAAGTTTGGCTTGAAAATCACAGGCTGTGGCCAAGGAAAGAAATTAAGACAGCTAGGACACATTCCTAAGAGTGTTAATAAATATTTTATTCCAGAAAGGTGGTAATATTCCAAAGATCTTGCTTTTTGTGTGGGGGGGGCATGAAGTTCAAAGCCCTACAAAAGCACACAAAGGCTGCATAAGAATGCTGCTATATACACTATATATATATATGTAGCCTGAGGATCAGCACATAAAGGTATGTAACAAAGTCACAACAGTCAGGATTTTGAGCAAGCAGCTTTTGGAAAAGTAGCTCCTGACAGCAGGAGAGCACACAGTGGAGCTCCCAGCTCTTCCTTTTTTTTCCCCCGAGAGGCCATAGATTTGCAGAATCATCTCTGGTCCCCAGAGAAATGCCCTTTGCTAGGCTGCCTTTCCTCATTTTTCCTGTTCCCAGGAAAACAAAACCCAAAACCCAAACCACTCAATCAGAGCATCTCTATTTTCTAGCAGCACCAAGAGTAACCACTGCTGCACCTTCCAGTCCTGACAGCATTTGCTGACTTTCAGGAGCTATTCCTATGGACTTCCTGGACTTCCTTCCCCCCCAAAACCTGACATCCTCTTCTAGTGTGTGGATAACCCCTGCCTTGCCACCCATCCACTTTTAATTAAATACGGTTAAGCACAGGGAAGAATAGCTAAGCACTTAACGAGAGAAGGATGGGAGGGAAGAAGAACAAACTAAATGCTGTGCTAGAGGGAGAATAAAAGATATCTGGGGTCATTTTCTGCCCCACTTCTCTCCATTTCTTCCTCTCAGATAAGAAAGTAAAGTAAGAATGTCTGTAAACAAGCATACATTTATGTGCCTTTATATGCAAATGTGTCTAACAATACAAATGAGTTTTTGCTCCTAGCTGCTGACAAGTATGCCTGACAGTCTGAGATAGTGAAAGTGCAAGTCACCGAACAAAAAGCTGTGTGGAGAGCAGCAGAGAAAAGGAGTCTGAAGGAAAGGGAAACTGCTTAAAGCCTATCTTTTAAAATAAAAACATGTTCCCTGGTCAAAACAGCAACAGGCAAGACAAAATAAAACATTCCACACTGGGGGAAAAGTGCAGGAAATATAAGAATAGAAGACAGCAGGAGAATATCTGTTCAAGACACAGCATATGCAAAGGTGAGTAATGTCTAATTCCTTGGATCTGTTTCAAATGGCAGCGTTCATGAAATCCAGAGAAGTGGAAATGGTGTTTGGCAAAAATAGCCCACTTAAAGGGGAAGGAGTGCAGTGCCTATTGACATATGGGGCTGTTAGCAAACAAAAAGTATGGGTAGTGGCAATTAGGGTTGTTGCAGGCGACATTCCATTCACTCCAACCCCAGAAATAATGGAAAGGACTGACTGGAAAGGCTGATGTTTTCCTTCCACGAAACTATTAACACTGCCTACAGCATTTCAGCCTACTTCACAAGGGGTTCCCCTATATTTTCCTGGAGATATCAAAAAGCAATACATGCGCTTCATCTATCGTATCATCCAGCCTGGATTTCTTGTGCACTTTTAAGGATTATGAATCAGTTAATTTTGCATCATGCTACCACAAAATTTTCAAGCACCTCTGAAAACATATAGTCTACATTTGGGTGGTTGCCATTTCAATGAGACTCTTCTATAAAATAAAGGTTTAAAGCTTATGTTAAAAATGAACTCTGTAACATAACTTGAAGCAAGTTGCAGCAAATGCTGTGCCATCATACCATCTGTGTTCAAGTACAGCTCTCAAGCTCTCCTCCTATTGCTTCCTAAATTGGAAAATAATGGTAAAAAATAAAATCAGAGATGAAGAAGCATTGTGCATTGGAATATGTTATGAACCTGAGCCTTACAACGCTTGTTTCAAAAATTGACTTCTCTGTATCTGTATACCCCAACAAAGCATCATTGTGGAAGTAAAAAGGCAGGTTATACTCTTCTTCATATTTAAATTAAGCAATGTTTCCACCTGACACAGCTAGCAAATTCTGGTGAGCTTTGTTCTACCAGATACTGCTGGCTTTGCTTTATTTTAGCTCTCTTCACAAGTGTTCCAGCAATATTCCATGGGAACGTGAGTGAAATTTATTAGATCTTGGAGTAAATGGAAGGCACTAGAACTGCTGAGAAATCAAAAAGAAAAAATACCCCACTGTTAAATCAGTGCCTAAGGTAAGAGGAATTGCTGGAGAAAACTTATACGGAGAAAAATGTACAAACCCCAACATGCATCTGAGGCCACGAGGAAGTGTAGTAAAAGATCCATAAACAAACCCTAAAGGTAAAACACAGAAAATCTAGCTGTTCTTTATATGATATAATTTTAAAGGTGAATTAATAAAACCCTACCCTTAAAAAATCAACTTTCTTATGTGGAGCCTAAAATAGCACTTTTCTGACAGTCAAACGCAGGATCATTGTTTTGAAGATGTAGAAATAACCCCCCTGTGCTGGTCACTTTATCACACTTTCAAGGTCTCCAGTCACTTCATCACTGCAGAGCAGAAGGAAGACAAGGAACATGCTGGGAAGCTATCCCAGAAGTGCCTGAAGAAGACAGAGAGGCATGCAGGCAAGACTAGGAGGCACAAGACTGAAGGCAGAGCACCTGCAGAAGAACCTGTTGATGATCTTTTCTCTGGTACCGTATCAACCTGGTCCTGGCCAGTCACTCAACAAGAACACAAATACATTCATAATTTCCTCTTGACTTCTGAGAAGCAGGCACCTTGCGCGTCCTATGCTATTCCCACATACTGCTCTACCAACAGATTTTTATGACTCTGCTCACATAAATATGTGTTCGTCCTGTGCTGGTGGCTATGTCTGCATGTTCTGAATGATCAGTAAAGCGAGTATGTGTGACCCGAGCAGGAGCCACTCGGAAAGCTGCTGCCACTTGATTTCCAATTAAGGCTGTGCAGCTGGGACACTGTAACTGACACTGTGAGAAGGGCCTGAGGCTTCATATGAGACCTTGTAGTGGAAAGGAACAGGGTGGAGTGCTTGGTGGAGTGCTCAGTGGGGTCTGCCATAGGCAGCAAGCTCCTGGGAGGGAATCTCACTCTCCCTCAGGAGATGCTCCTGCTCTGTGGAAGATAAAACCTCCCTACTACGACCCCTGTCCTACCTGACCCTTTCCAAAAAACATACCGAGGTGCCTTCTCCATCTTATTTCTAATTCTGTGAGATACTGCTAATCCCAGAGCCCAGGAGAAAGCATGAAAGAGGTCAGGGCACTGCATACTTGAGACAGGGATTCAAGCTGGAGCATGCTGCTCAAAAAGGGGACAAGGGAATGCAGGCTTTGAACACCTTTGGGAAACACTCTTCTCAAAAATAAAAGCGTTTCCAACAGCAGCGATGTTTATTGTTTTTATACTCTTCTCACTCCTGTCAGCACGTTCTCATCAAGGTTTGCGTGGTGCTGGCTGCAATGCCCATTTGCCTTTCCAAGGGCGAGCCTTGCAAAAGGGCTGGCTGTTCCACATCTGTGTGGCCCAGCAGCACGTCCACCCTACTGGGCTCCGCCGCAGCTGCCGGGCTCCTGCCGCGATTCCATGCGCCCTTTACGGGTCTGGCATGCCAAGCCCTCACCTCTTTCCCGCTCCCGGCCCAGGATGGGGCTCCTGGCAGCAGCGCGCTGCCGCGCTCGGCAGGGACGGGCCTCACACGGACCTGGGAGCACCGGGACCCCGTCCTCTCGGGCCTCATCCACCGACCCCGCACAGCGGGAGCGGCGCTGGACAGGTTCTGGGCAACGGGGATTTGACTGGGAGAACTCGGCCCCTGCGGAAGGCCCAGCGGCAGGAGCAGTCCCCCAGCGGGTGCGGTAAACGGGGAGGGGGTGGTGTGTGCCACCGTACAAAGCACAGGACACACCGGGTGGTACCGCCTCACTCCCCCTCACCCACCCGGCACCGACGCCGGAGACCCTCCGCCACCGCCGCTCACCTCAGCCCACCAGCGGTGGGGCAGAGGCGGGTGAAGGGGGGTCAGCTGCAGGGTCAGAGGCCAGTGCACAGGAGCGGCCGCCTCGCCTCTGCCCGACCCCGGCCCGCAGCAGGCCCGCAGCGCACTGGCCCCGCCGCTCGGCGCCGCAGGCGGGGGCAGCCAGAGAGGGAGGGGCGGGGGAGAGGCGCGCGCCCGCGGGCGGGGCTGCCGGCGCGAGGCGTGTCCCGGGGCCCGCGCACCGCCCGCGGCGGTTGGCGAGTGCTTCCATCCGCCCTGTGGCGCGCCGGGGGAGGCGCGGGCTCGTGCTCGCGCCCTCGCCGTTGCCATGGCCCCGGCTTGACGTCACGGGCGGTGCGCTGCCCGTGCGCTGCGGCGCGGTGATTGGCGGAGACGCCGTGTGTGGCGCTGGGAGAGAGGCTGCAGCGCAGCGAGCCGCGACACAGGCACAGTCCGCGCCGGCCGCCCGCTCCGAGATACCAGCCGCCGCGCTCCCGCCGCGCACAGGTAACGGGGCCCCCCGCCAGGCGGTCGCCCCGGCACCCTGTCCTCCGCCCCCGGGGAGCTGCGGGGGGAGGGGGGGCGAAGTGAGGCTGCTGGCGGGCAGCGCCGAGCAGTTCCTTGCCCGCCCCCACCCGCTCCGGCCTCGGTGGCAGGGAGCGGGGTGGCGGGAGCAGCCTGCCCCAGGGGGGCCGCTGAGGAGGGCGGTGAGGGCCGCGCAGGTGAGGCCGCGTCTGCCCCTCCCCGCTGGTGAGGAGAGGGGAAGAGCGGACGGGGGCGGCGGGCGGGGGAGGGGGCGGCGGGCGGGGGAGGGGGCGGCAGGTGAGGGCTCCGCCCGTGCCGCGGCGGCGGGGGAGACCCCGCGCCCGTGGGCGCGTGTAGCGGGGCGGGGGGGGGGGGCGCAGCCGCCTCCGTCGGGCGGGGGCGCGGGCGGTGGCGCTGGGTGTGGTCTGCCGCCGGGAGCGCTGCCCGGGCGCGGAGCAGCCGCAGCGGCCGCCCCTCGGTCGGGCTTGCTGCTTCCGCCCGCCCTGCCCCTCGCCCCCACCCATCCTGCCCGCCCCGCCCGAGCTCTCCGGCGGCAGCAGCGGCTCCCTGGGGACTACAGGGGGCTCCTCCTCCGCCGCCGCCCCCTCTCACCCTCCTTCTCCTTCACGTCTCCCTGGGGCTGGGCCCGTGGGCTGCCCCTCGTTAGGCCGTTGCCGGGGCGGGGACGCGGCATCCTTGTCCGCCGCCGCCCCCGGCGTTGGGCGGAGGTGAGCGGGATTAACGCGCGCTGAAGTGGGCAGGGCTCCGGCACCGATCCGCCATGACAAAGGCGGCCGGCGAGGCGCTCCGTGGCCCCGCGGAGGGCGGATGCGGCGGCCAGAGAGCGGGAAGGGGAGGCGGGAGGGGCGGCCCGAAGCTGGCCTCCGCGCCCCGGGGAGCCCTGAGGTGTCGCGCCGTGCCGCCCGCTCCTCCCTCGGGCCGCTTCATTTTTTGCTGTCGCCCCGCGTGTGGGGGAAGCGCAGCAGCGCCCAGCCCCGCCGCGGGCGCCCTCGGCCTCCCAGAGAGGATGCTGCCGTAGAACCCGGCGTACGGGCTTTGGGGCTGGAGTTTTAACGACGCTCGCCCTGTTCAGTCCCGGTGGTAAATAACCGTAGCCAAAAACTTGATTTAAAATGGCTCCTTAACCCCGCTGTTCATGGTGCGGTCAAGTTTTCAACGCATGTTTGCAAACGCTGCTGAGTTTTTGCCCCGATGGTGGGGGTAGCAGATACGAAATCTTTCCCTTTCAGGTGACTGCAATGTTAAAAATGGGCTTAATTTATACCGAAATGGAAGGTAGTGCTGCTATTGTTTGTGGTAACTTCACGCAGAATGACAAAAACGTTAATGGTTAAAAATTAAGCTGCTGGATTGTTGTGTATAGAACATACAGAAATCCATAAAGCATACATGATCAAAATAATTCTTGTTTTAATAATATAATCGAACTTTAAATGGAGATGGTGTATCCCAAAGTGCATTGCCAGGGCCTCGAAATGATCAAGTCAAGGTACATAAAAGGATGGGGTATGAGGGAGGAGTAATCTTTGCTGATGTACTAAAAAAACCCCAGAACATTAACTGGTACTTATGTTCAGCAGACCCTGATTTTTCTTATTTTTTTTAAGTGCTGGTAAGATGCAGGTTCTGAAGCATCTCAGTCAGGTCACACTACCTCAAATACTGATGAAGTAGTATTTTTGAATAGTAAAATCTCTTTTTGTCTCTGAAAGCATAGCCTCTCAGGTGGAGCAGCAGTATTTGGCTCAGGAAGTCTACCCTATCCCATTTGGGGTGAGGAAGTTAACTCTTTTGAAGGGTCTGCACCTTCAAATTCAGATCACTTGGTGCATTCTGGCTTTTTAACAGCCAGTGTGGGATTTGATTTGCAGATCCCTATGCCAAGTCCTTCTGCATGTAACGGTAAGATTCTGATAAGGCACAGAGTTGTCTGGTGTTGTGTGCCTAGCCTTTATGTGGTCTTTTTCTGTGAAAAACTTAGTAGTGGATGTTTTCTTTATCAATTTTGTTATATTAATAATTGGATGCAGTTGGTGCTGCAGCTTGAATGTGATGTGATGAGAGTCATGGCAAAGAACTAGGATCATTTATGTGCATAAGACAGGAATAATTTGCTTTCAGTTCACCTCTGGATGCTTTTGTTTTTATTTCTTAACATAATGTACTTTAAAAAGTTAACAGTTTTTCAGAAGGAAACAGTGACTTTAACTCTTTACGAATCTGCGTGTTTGAGCATCAAGTGCTTTTACATCTTGTAATGCTTTTATACCTTGTGCCCTGGATTTCAATTGTATGTCTTGCAGTTCCAAACAACTTAAAGAATGGTTGCTCTGCATATGCAAACACCTTTGTCCTTGATCACTGTCTGAATAATGCCTCACTATTTTTCCTCTTCAGAAATATCAGCATGGATAAAAATGAGCTGGTGCAGAAGGCCAAGCTGGCTGAGCAGGCTGAAAGATACGATGACATGGCAAGTTGCATGAAGTCTGTGACTGAGCAAGGAGCTGAGCTGTCCAACGAAGAGAGGAATCTTCTCTCTGTTGCCTATAAAAATGTTGTAGGAGCTCGTAGGTCATCTTGGAGAGTCGTCTCAAGTATTGAACAAAAGACGGAAGGCGCTGAGAAAAAACAGCAGATGGCTCGAGAATACAGAGAGAAAATTGAGACTGAGCTAAGAGACATCTGCAATGATGTGCTGGTGAGAAATAATGAAACCGTTGATCCATCTTTACTTAGGGTTGCAGGGTAAATGGTGCTGGGCCCTCTGGGACTGCTTCTAGTCTGTCAGTAAAGCTGTGCTCTCCTGTGCTATTTCTGAAGGACGGCATTTAAAGAATGTCTGCCTTTTCTCTCTCTGTAATGTATCAATTATTTATATACAAATCATTATCCTATTGAATGGTACAGCATTTGGAGACATAATAGTTACAAGAAATCAACATATTTCTTTGAGACTGAACTACATACAGGTGTAGTTTGGGTTTTTCTTCTCTGCCCTTCCCCCTCAATGCAGTATTTGTAACTTAAATCACTGATTTCTGCAACTTTAATATGCTGCTGTAGTTGTAAGAGGTAGTTCTTACTCTACGGAAATTGTGCCCCTCCCTGGGCAAGATGATGTAATGTTAGTTATGACTCAGCCATGCAGAAAACTGACTGCAGGAAGAGGCAGTAGAAATGCTATAATACCTTCTTAAACTTAATTTTATTAACAGCAAACTTAAAAGGATATTCAAGTTGGGCATTTTCTGTGGCTTGTAGGTCTGTCAAAATGTGCATGTACCTGGCAGACAGCCCTGTATTTTCGTTACGAGTCTGGTTTATGAAATCCAAAGCTTGTTCCAAAAGCTTTTTGAAGATTGTCAGGGTTTTTTCAACTGCATGTGCCTGTGGTGCTTCAGTGAGGCCATTATTAATGGGTGCCCAGGCCTGTGACCACCTGTGAGGTAGATACTACTGTCAGCAGTAGAGTTGTCCACTGGACTGTGGGCGCTGCTGTTGTGTCATCCCGTATGTGACAAGGGATCACATACCTGGAGACGGCAGAATGACATGTGATAGGAGGGAAGTGTTAAATAGCTAAGCATGCGCTTGAAGATCTCATGTCAAACGAAAATTAAGATCAATGAGTAGCATGACTTTTGCTTGCTGTTTAAGGTAACTAAATGACAAGTGTGGTGATTGCTTGAAGACTGGTTTTTCAAGGGTGTGTAGAAGTCGGTGTGGATAACTTCAAATCTTGGCTTCCAGTTCAGGCTGGCTTCCATGGTTATTGTGACACACCCAGTTTCATGTTGTGTTATCTTGTGTAAGGATAACTCTTAAGCTATCACTATGAAAATGGAAATGTCAAACTTACACATAGGAAAGATGATTTACTAGTTCTTGGGTTATGTGGTGGGTCATTTATTTAAGCCAGGGAAATATGGACCCAAATCTGGCATTCTAATTTATTGCCATTTCTTTTTTCTTTTCTTTTTTTTTTTTTTTTTTTTTTTTTAATTAATGGGCATTTCCTCAGGGGTGGATGCTTTCAGGTCAAGAGTGATGTCAAATTCTTTTGTAAACTATGGTTGAAAATCGTTTTAATGAAGTTATTGGGTTTAGAAACCCCATTTAAGAAGAACCTAGTGTTTGCAATTGGATTTCTTTTTCTGATAATAGAAACCAGATCGAAGTGAAATTTTATTGTACATGCTAAATACAAAAACTAAAGCAAACCCTGAGCTTTTGAGTTTGCTAAAGCAGCTGAATTACCTAGGCGGGAGGGAACACAGGTGGGGAATGTTGTTAAATCTTCCCAATCTCAAAATGTTCTTAAATTTATCTTTGTGTTAA